GCGCACAGGGGCCTGCTCTGTTTAATCTGAAGGCCCCGAGCAAATGTAATTTACCTGGCAATACAGCTAGCTGAAATATGATTGGTTAAAAACTCTACCATAATAAATAAGTTATTTATCGAGTGGCTTTCAATGTTATTTAAAATAACATTGATGTTATTTAAAATAACATTGAAAGCCACTCGACTAAGTGGAAATAATATGACGTAAAGAATACAGAAAATAATTTTGTTAACATATTTATGAAAATAAAATAACAAATTTATGTTATTCTCAGAAAAGTAAATTTACTTTTCTGAGAATGTTTAGGCCAGCAGAGAAGGCCTTGCTGGCCCTGAGGGTCCGCCACTGTTCCTTCCTCTAACATTCCAACTTTATTCAGGTATTTCAAAAATGGCTTGACTTTTTTTTGACTTTTTGACGTTTTTTACAAGTTTCTTATACCATTTGTGACTTTTTTCTTTCATTTACACCTACACTCATTAGCACTGGAGTTTTTCTCGAGGTATGAAGAACAGATACAGATTGTCACGTCATTCAACTTCACCTCATAATATTACAGCTAAAAATAGCTGTGACATTTTTCTTGAAAGATTCATCAAAATGAACTCCATCCATCCATTTTCTGATCTGTGTATCCTCACAAGGGTCACGGGGCATGCTGGAGCCTATCCCACCTGTCTTCAGGCAGTAGTCGGGATACACCCTGAACTGGTTGCCAGCCAATCCCAGCAAAAATGAAGTGGATCTGCTAATACCGTATTGCAAATTGACTCTTATTACAACTTTTCTCTGGTAATTTTAAATTTTTCTCATAACTTCAATCAATCAAACTTTATTGATATAGCACTTTTCCTACATTGAAAAGCAACTCAAAGTGTTGTGCAATTGAAACATCAAAAATACAATTTAAAAGGAGGACCATCCCCTTCCCCCAAATGACACAGATACATATTCACACAAGTATGCCTTGTGTGTGTAACTCGCGTGCGTGCGTGCGCACACACACACACACACACACACACACACACACACACACACACACACACACACACACACACTGAACTATATTAAAAAAAGACATGGCAAGGCACAGAGAAACTATTTGAAGAAAAAGAGAACCCAAGGGGAGCTAATCCACGCTGACAAGAATGACTGCCGACACCTCCTAGTGTGGAGGCCCCACATGAGGAAACGCTGGCGCTAAAAAAAGCTTGAATTAAAACTATTTTGAAAAAGCATATAAATAAGTGATTTAAAAGCGAAGCTAAAAAAAATGTTCCTTAAGCCTTCTCTGAAAAACATCAAGAGTCTCTGCGTGTCATAATGCGTGGAGGACCCCAAAAAGCAGGCAAGAGGGAGGAGCAGAGTGAACTTGGCAAACTGTATGAACAAAACACTGAGAAAACTAAATCCAGAACAAACAAAGTCCCGAAAACAAAAAGAATCCAAAGTAACAAATAAAAACCCATGGCAGAAGCAAAATGCTAACAGGAACAGAAACGGCAATGCAAAGAGCAACAATGACCCAACATCGAGTGGTCGGGCCAGGAGTCCTTTTAATAGAAAAGCTACTAATGACATGATGACCAACAGGTGTGCCGCCGTAGGAGGAGCCCTACAGAGCCACCTGTTGGTCCCAAGCAAATCAACCGTGACAGTACCCCTCCTTCAAGGGACTGACCCCAGAAGTCACAAACAGTCGGCTTGGCTCAAATGCGCACGTGGACGGGGCTCAGCTCAACGTGGACGCGGACGGGGGTTGGCCTGCCGTGGACGGGGCTCGACGTGATGGGGAACATGGGATGGCCACATGACATGCGCCGCCTGAAGGGGAATGGGTGTTGGCCGCAGACCTGCTCCGCCAGGCACAGGGTGGAACTGCTTCAAGACAATCACGTGACCGATGCATGAACTGCGTCGACGCGGACGGGGGTTGGCCTGCCGTGGACGGGGCTCGACCTGACTGGGAACATGGGACGGCCTGACGTGGACGTGGACGTGACTCAATTCAAACGTGGACGTGGCTCGG